CGACAATGCGCTGGGGTCGCCCGGTGGCCAACCGGGCGGAACGACCGGCCAGGCAGCCCGGTCCCACCCGCGGGGGACGAGCCGGCCGCCGGGCGGCCCAGAGTTCAGCCTAGCCAGTTTCGACATTTTTTCTTCGCCACATAGACTGACGAAGGAAAAATGTCGAAACGGGTTCGACATTTCTCAGAGGAGAGCCTTTCGACATTGGTGGAAACCGCCAGCCTGCAGCAGCCCGAGTTTCAACATCTTGGAACGAAGGTGGTGAAAGAAGGGCGAGTTTTGACATTTGTCAGGGTCGGGGTACTGACACTCCTTCGCCTTCTCTTCCTTGCGTTTCGACAGCAGTGTAAAAAAATGCAGCCTTGGAGGTGAGCAAAAAAAAAAAAAAAAAAAAAAAAAAAGAATAAAAAAAATTTGTCCGTGTATCTTTCCATGTTGCAGGCCAAATTCAGTCGCATGTTCAACGTCTTGAGAGCAGCTCGGCGAGGCCCACTGCTCTCCCTACATTGGAATCTCGGGGACAGAGGCATCGACAAATTCCCCGCCTCCGCCACACAGCAATGTAGAAAGAGGGGCAACGGGTGCAGTGCCTCCACATTCCTTGTGTTCTGCATTGCGAAGGCGGGGAATTTGTAGAAAGGCCTAATGTCAAAAAGAGTCTGACACTCGTCGAAAAATTTGCTGTTTCGACATTGGTGTGGCAAGGCCCTCACTCTCATTTCGCACATTTCGAGAGTAGTAGAGAAAGGGGGGCTCCACTACTCTCCAAATGTGCAAAACGAAAGTGAATCTGCCCCTAGAACATGGAAAGATGCACTGCCACGAGGCCCCACGGATGGCACGCATAGGTCGGGAAATCTGAGAACGAAAAAAAAAAGAGACAGCATGTGTATCCCATAGGGCCTCTGCGTTGTTATCAGACCATATATCCCGTTGGCCCCCTGTTTTCCCGTTGCACAAAAGACAAAAATCATGGCGCTGTATCTTTCCATGTTCTAGCGAAGATTCACTCTCGTTTTGCACATTTCGAGAGTACTGGAGCAAGGCCCTATCAATCGTGGAAACCGAGAGTGAATCTTCCACTAGAACATGGAACGATGCAGCGCCACGATCTTTTCTTTTTTTCTTCCTGTTTCTTCATTTTTCTTTTTGGAAAACAGCCCGGCCCTCCGACGTGGATGACTAGACTGCAGTTAAAAACTCTGCCCTGCGACAGCCACGCGGCGGAGGATTTTGGCCGCAGTGTAAACTTCAGAGGGGACTGGACTCCAAAACCGCAGTTTCAAATGTACTTAGAAACTCAAACCATGAAAGCGCCCTAGTTTTCTCTTTCTTTCGTTTTCTTTGCTTCGCAGATTCGAAAAAAGAGTTGTCCCTGTATTATTGAGTTCTAGCTACCATCTAGATATCGAGAGACCTGCAGTCGGATGCACTGTTGTGAGCTGCCCTTTCTTTGCCCAGGTTTGTCTGAACCACTTCAGTTACCTCGTGGTGCCTCTCCCTGACTTTGCCACTCTTCTCCAGTCTACACGAATCGCTGTTTTGACTGCATGTTTGAAACGACCTTTCAACTCAACATCTGACATAGGACGCTCATTGAAGCGAGCTCTGTTCCTATCTGCCCAGATGATTTCTACTAATATGCCTCTGACCACATGTGCTATATACCCAGCGCCTGTCTTTTCACTTAGCCCTGGGGGTAGGAAGCCAAGTAGCACCCATCTTTCTTCCCATTCCACCCCTCTACCACCCATCTTTTTCCAATGGTATTCCCACCACTTCCACAATCTCTTGGAGGCTGGGCACTCCCACCATAGGTGCCGGGTTGATTCGAAAGGCCAGTTGCACCGTCTGCAGCGAAGTTCCACCACCATTCCCCTGCTTAGTAGCCAGACTGCAGATGGGGTTACTAATAGCGATAGTAGCCATAACAAACTCACTTGTTTCCCATTTGGCAGTCGGTTAAGCGTTTTCCACAGTCTGTTGAACTTGGTTTCCGCCTCTGGGATCTCCTCTCCCAGGAGTGTTTGCCATCTGTGTTTTGCTACCGCGGCTGGTGCTGTTCCGCTTGTAGGGAACTAGGCTCAGATTAAGAACCAGGGCACTCGGTTCTATAGGGCCACAGTGGACCATGTAGGAGAGTGTCGTGATAGGAGGACTGGTTCCAATGGGCCGGGGTAGTCCCAGGGCCGCCTTAGGCCCAATAACGTGGCTATCATTACCCGGGTTAAGGAAGAAGGAGGTTTTCGTGGGCTGGTTTCAGAGGATAGACACATGGAAAGGGGATACTGTTGCAGACTAGAAGTTGTCATCAGAGATGGCCTTCATGAATCAGGTATTATAAGTCTGAGAATGGCAACAGCTGTAAGAGCATAGAAGTAGGTTATGAGCTTATGTAGAGGCAATGAATTGTGTATTTTGATTGAAGGGCCATTGCAAGTTGTTGGTTTTCCAGTCTACTGACTGTAAGCTAAACTGGCTGATGCTGCCAGGATAACTCAGGGTAGAATTGTGAGGGCCCCGGCCTCGTTCAATGATTCGGAATATAACTGTTCAATCTGGTTTCCAGCAAAAAAAAAAAAAAAAAAAAAAAAAAAAGAGAGTTGTCCGGGATCCCGGACAACTTCACACAGGATGTCCAGCCAGGGCAACCGGCCATCGGACAAGTGGCAGCCTAGCATTTTTGTTGTTTTTATGTAGACTTCCCTTGGGGGTAGCTGTAAAAGAAAAAATAGTAAAAAACAAGAAAAAAAGTAAACCATAAGGTAGAGCCTCGCCTTTGTAGGAAAGGTATTAGTTTTCATTATGGGCAAGCAAATAATCAATGAGTTGCCAGTTGGCGAATTTGACTCGCTCAAAAGTCAAATCCGGAGCTGAAGATAGTTCAAGAGTGATTTGTTTCTTTTTTTTTTTTTTTTCGGTCAAACTCGTCAAGTGCCCAAGGCGATACCATAAGGCCTCATTTCTTCAACGGTAGGCTGAGCCTCGCTCCTGCAGCAAAATAAAACACTTCAATTATAGAACACCATCGAGAACGACCATTTCACTATTTGCGTAGGGCGTAGGGGCCATGCTAATCTGCTCTTCATGGTTCGCATTTTGACACATTTCCCGGAGGACAACCTGTTGGTAGGTTTATCATTGTAGCCCAGTGATCGATCCGCAGCCAGATGGAATCGAACCTGTGACCTTAGCGGCTGGATGCCTTTCCCACTCCAACGGTGATCCGGTGTTCAAAACAAAAGCCATACCGGTCGTGACATTCAGCCCATCCCAGCACCGTGGCAGCAAGGACTCATGGTCAACGCAGGACATCCATGAGATCTTCCGCAGGCAGCAGCATCCATGCAGAATCCAAGACCGTTCACAGTTGCTGACCATCATCCCATACACCAGAATCCAGGAGAACATCCCCTAGCTGGTTAGTGGGCTGGTACCTGTTGGTAGCCTTTCTTTTTTTGTTTTTTTTAACATTCTGTTCATTGATTGCATCTGGACAGCTTTTCGACCTCCATCAAAAGAAGATACAACTAAATCCATCACAATGAGGTCAAACGGTCAAAGTGAGCATTGGAAAGTGGGGGAAGAAGGTTGACGAGAAGAGAAAGCGCAGAGAGAAAGTGAGCATTTAGAGAGAGAGATCCATAGAGAGAGAGAGAGAGAGAGAGAGAGAGAGAGAGAGAGAGAGAGAGAGAGAGAGAGAGAGAGAGAGAGAGAGAGAGAGAGAGAGAGANAGAGAGAGAGAGAGAGAGAGAGAGAGAGAGAGAGAGAGAGAGAGAGAGAGAGAGAGAGAGAGAGAGAGAGAGACAGAGAGAGAGAGAGAGATCCATAGCGAGAGAGAGAGAGAGATTCCCAAATGGATGTGAATTTGCCCAAATTTGTTAATGAAAAAAAAGTAAATAAAAAGGGAAAATTGCATCTGCACCCCACTTAAAGATGGGAATACCCGCGACTGTGCACTTAGTTGGAAAGGAACTCTTTACACCTGAGGAAGAGGAAAGCGCTAGCGCCTTGCGGCCCGCGGACGGCAAGGCCCGCCCGCCAGGCACTGCACGAACCTCGCGGTTGCCGCTTCGAGCGACCATAGCCGCGCGACTCGAGCGTTCACGGCCCCAGCTTTTGCCAGCTGAAGTGGGTAGCCCCACATGGGATCTGGAGGACGCAGTAACGCCAGCGTACTGAAGACAACGACGTGGACGGGAGGTTTTGCGACGACATCGACAAGGTCAACGGGTTCAACACGGTCAACGATGCCAATGGGCACGATTGAGACTTTACTTCAGGGCGCCACCCAGTGGCTTTCGTTTCTTCAGATGAGTCATGACCTTCTCCGACAGAAAGTGGATGAGATGAGGCTGGTGGCTGATGGGGGGAACGCACTGCCATATCTCACACACCAGAGCATGATGCAGAGCCTTGTGCACATTATCACGAAGCTAGAGGAGGGGCCAACTTCTTATTTGGCACTATGTAACGCGCGTTCGCGTTCAATTCCGCGTTTGAACGCAGATTTAAATTCGCGTTCAAAATTGAACGCCATTCAATTTTTATTTTTTTTTTATTTTTTTTTAAGAACGTCTCTCTCTCTCTCGCTATAGATCTCTCTCTCTCTCTCTCTATATATATATATATATATATATATATATATATATATATATATATATCTGAACGTTGTAGGCCGAGTTTTTTTTTTTTTTAACGAACCGTGGAATTGAACGGCGCGTTTGGTCACGTTCATTGAACGCGCGTTCATTCCGTTCAAAAATTGAGCGGAAAACCCGCGTTCAATGAACGAGCGGTTATATAGATTTGGCAAGGTTTATTGACCCGCGACGGGCAGCGACTTTGATGCGACACTGCGACACTGTCTCTGAGGAGGGGCAAGCACCGTGCACCGTGTCCATGGAGCACTGGTATGCTCAATTAGATCTGGAGGAGGAGGACGATTCGCCATCATCACCCGCAACACCTACGCAAGTGGCAGGATGTCCATGCATCGGCATCAACAGAAACAACAACAACAACAACAACAACAACAACAACAACAACAACAACAACAACAACAACAACAACAACAACAACAACAACAGTAACAATAACAGCAACAACAACATCAACAATAACGACAACTACGGCAATATTGTTGCTGCTGCTGCCGGTCCCTTTCATGGCGATTCCAGCGACAACGACAATATCATTGCTGCTGCTGCCGGTCCCTTTGATGACGATTCTGGCGAGATTGGCGACATCATCAGTCATGACAACACCAGCAGCAACAACACCAGCAGCGTTGTTGTCGGTGTGATCTCACAGTCATGTGTTGATGAAAGAGGCAGCAACAACAACAATAGCAACAACAACAACAATAACGATGACAACAACAACGGCAACAACGGCAACAACAACAACAACGGTACCGCAGAGGCCGCCAGTTTTGATAACGGTGATTTTGACACTGGCGAGATCGGTGGTACCATCAGCTACAACAACAACAACAACAACAACAATACTGATGACGACAACGACAATAATAACTGCAGTTACAACAATAATAGCAATGACCGAATCATCGAAAGGGCGACTGGCGAAATCGACATCAACAATAACACGGTCAGTGTGCCGGGGACAGGCGACGGCTCTTTTCTCCTTTTGCCCCCTTCTCTTCTCTGTTCTGGCCGCCGCTTATTGAATGAGGGGTGTGGAAAGGCGTACTGTGGTGGCGAGAAGGAGTGGGGTAGGGATAGGACTTCCAGTTGGTTTTTGTCCATAGGTAATATTGTCATATCTTTGGCTGTCTGGCTTCGATCGACGTTTGCCCATTACGAATTTTGATGGGCACACCAATCACAATGATCACAAGTATCTGGCAATCTTCCATGTGGCGGGCCGGGGGTGTGGGGGGGAGAGGTGTTGTTGCATATGTCACCAGGGTTTGTTGGTTGCTCCTAGGGCGTGTTGTTTGGTCCCAGCCACGTGGTGAGGGCGGAAGAGTAGGTGTCTAATCTGACTTTTTGCTGCTCTTTCATCCTCCTGTATGTGGGGTTGTGGAGTGTGGACCAGTCGTTTATGCTTCAGTTTCACCATGGAGTAGGCACATGTATGGGGGTAGCACGAGTCGGGACATGCAGACGAGATGGAGCGAGCACGTATACCGGGCTGGTCAGATTGTTGGAAACGATAAGAGGAATCGGAACGAGAAACTGTACAGATGGCTTCGACGAGTGGTGTGGGTAATTATGCCATTGTGCATTTATGTAGGTGCCGTCCGGATGATTTCCTGGACACTGAAAAAAAATTTATTCGTTGATTGTCTCCTGCGTTGAACACTAGGGATAAATCGAAACGAAGAAGGAGAAAACGACTGGCGCTAAGGAAGCGTTGGAGAAAGAAGCGATTGCAGAAGGAGGATTGTGTTACTGATGTGGTTGTGGCGAACCGGGCGGAATCGTTTGTGGAATACCACTCCTGTGTGGGTGTTGTGTCTCATAGTCTTCTCAAAATTCTTGAATATTGCCGGTTACATTCTATTCATTGTGTAGTAGTATCATGTGTGGGAGGAGAGAGGACTATTCACCGATGGGAGGTGTTGAAGCGATTATATGGAGGGCGCATTGTATCTTTTGTGCTGGGTCGTGTTGAGCTTAAGCATGCCCGAGGGTGGTTACATGAAAACTTGACTCTTTCGGTGGATGCGGTGGTGCCTTTTTTAAGTAGATCTCTTGCTCTTAAGCCCCTGCTTGCTGGTTTTCTCGCCAACCTGTTGAGTAGAAACTTGTTGAGAATTTGGGATTTGGATGAACTTCTGGCTGCATACACGGCTGTAAAGACGTTTAGTGAGAAGCGTTCTCGGTGTCGAATTCGCTGCCTATTGTCGAGTGTCATTCTGTCACGTTTTGGCTTACACGTCAGAAAGAGACTGGTCTGTAAATAGTGTACGATGATTCGATCTCGAAAGCAAGCATTCGTCAAGCTTGTGCATCTGTCATTACATCGTTAGACATGTCTGAAGGTTGGAAGCTGATGTTGACTAGGCGCTTAAGGGTAGTATGGCGTCGAAACCGTACTATCGGGGATTATATACATAATTACAGGAAGATCGCCAAAGAGGTGGAGGTCGTGTGTACATGTAGGGAGAGTGATCATTCTCTTCCCCGACATAACGAACATGTTGCATTTCGTATAA